TATATTCGACGAATTTTATGTTTAAAAAATGATGCAAAACACACACATGTAAAAGAAAGTAACTGTTTACAAGTTTATTAAAAATGTCAAAATTAAATTTTTCCGGCCGTTTTTCGTTTTTTCGTGTCGAGACCCAAAATTGAAATTGCCTGTGCGCCTTTACTCTAAACTTTACGTGTTTTTGCAATTTGTGTGTTTTTCAAAACCCGTGAAAGCCCATTGCTCGCCCAGCCCTGTCGGGAATTTTGAATTTTTTTGAGATTCTGGAATTCTAAAATTCTGAAATTCTAAAATTCTGAAATTCTGAAATTCTGAAACTCTGAAACTTTGGAATTCTGAAGTTCTGAAATTCTGAAACCTGAAATTCTGAGATTCTGAGATTCTGAGATTCTGAGATTCTGAAATTCTGAGATTCTGAGATTCTGGAATTCTGAAATTCTGAAATTCTGAAATTCTGAAATTCTGAAACTCTGAAACTTTGGAATTCTGAAGTTCTGAAATTCTGAAACTCTGAATTCTGAGATTCTGAGATTCTGAGATTCTGAGATTCTGAGATTCTGAGATTCTGAGATTCTGAGATTCTGAGATGTTGAGATTCTGAGATTCTGAGATTCTGAGATTCTGAAACTCTGATATTCTGGAATTCTGAAATTCTTAAATTCTGAAATTCTGAAATTCTGAAATTCTGAAATTCTGAAATTCTGAAGGTCTGAAACTCTGGAATTCTGAAGTTCTGAAATTCCTAAATTCTGAAATTCTGAAATTCTGAATATCTGAAATTCTAAGTTTTTGAAATTCTGATGATCTGAGATTCTGAGATTCTGAGATTCTGAAATTCTGAGATTCTGAGATTCTGGAATTCTGAAATTCTGAAATTCTGAAATTCTGAAATTCTGAAACTCTGAAACTTTGGAATTCTGAAGTTCTGAAATTCTGAAACTCTGAATTCTGAGATTCTGAGATTCTGAGATTCTGAGATTCTGAGATTCTGAGATGTTGAGATGTTGAGATTCTGAGATTCTGAGATTCTGAAACTCTGATATTCTGGAATTCTGAAATTCTTAAATTCTTAAATTCTGAAATTCTGAAATTCTGAAATTCTGAAATTCTGAAATTCTGAAATTCTGAAATTCTGAAATTCTGAAATTCTGAAGGTCTGAAACTCTGGAATTCTGAAGTTCTGAAATTCCTAAATTCTGAAATTCTGAAATTCTGAATATCTGAAATTCTAAGTTTTTGAAATTCTGATGATCTGAGATTCTGAAACTCTGATATTCAGGAATTCTGAGATTCTGAAATTCTGAGATTCTGATATTCTGAAACTCTGATATTCTGAAATTCTGAGATTCCAAGATTCTAAGATTCTCAGATTCTGAGATCCTGAGATCTGAATTACTATGCGAAAATGCAGAAAAGTTCTGAAACGTCGTAGTTCTGAAACGTCGGGTTCCGAAACATCCCGGATCCTAATTCTGAATGTCTTAAACTCTGGAATTCTGAAACTCGGAGATTAAAAAATTCGAAATTTTCGATTCTCAGGTTCCTAACCCTTGAAACCTCCAAAAACATCAAAAACCGAATAGTTTCCCTCTCCCTCTTCGCGTGCCTCTTCTAGAATTCTGATCTTCTAAAAAATCATTGTTCTTTTTCTTCTTCTTCTTCTCCATCTTCTTCCCAAATCTTCGACTTAATTGAGATGAATTCTTCTTCTTCCCTCTCTCATCACGCAAACTTTTCCCCCAATTTTCTGATTTTAAGAAGAGGAAGGGAAAAGGGACCGCCCTTTTGCCTTCTTATCCTCAGTTTCTTGTCCCATCGAATTAGAATTGTCTCTTCTTCACTAGAAAAAGAGAAACAACAGAACAATTAGAATATACAACTCTTTTTTTTCGGGACAATTTTTTTTTTGGTTTTTCTACAACAATTACCAATCGGAGGAAGAATTATTGTGTCTAGAATCTTCTAGAAACAAAAAAATAATCTTCTAGAATGATAATTTTTCTCTCGACAATTCTGGAATCCTCGAATCTCTCTAGAGCCTCTGAATCCCAAAATTTCAGATTTCAAATTTTTTGAAATTTTCGAATTTTTGAAATTCTCGAAAATTCTGAAAATTTCTGATTGTGAGACACTGATTTTTTTGAACATTAGGATTTTTTTAATGTTAGAAGTTAGAAAAATATATTAAAAATTTTTTTCAGAATTCTGAAGTTTGAGATCCACGAATCTCAGAATTTCAGAATCTTAGAATCTCAGAATCCTAGAATCTCAGAATCTCAGAATCTCAGAATCTCAGAATCTCAGAATCTCAGAATCTCAGAATCTCAGAATCTCAGAATCTCAGAATCTCAGAATCTCAGAATCTCAGAATCTCAGAATTTTAGAATCTCAGAATCTCAGAATCTCAGAATCTCAGAATCTCAGAATCTCAGGATCTCAGAATCTCAGAATCTCAGAATCTCAGAATCTCAGAGGCTCAGAATCTCAGGATCTCAGAATCTCAGAATCTCAGAATCTCAGAATCTCAGAATCTCAGAGGCTCAGAATCTCAGGATCTCAGAATCTCAGAATCTCAGAGGCTCAGAATCTCAGAATCTCAGAATCTCAGGATCTCAGAATCTCAGAATCTCAGAATCTCAGAATCTCAGAGGCTCAGAATCTCAGGATCTCAGAATCTCAGAATCTCAGAATCTCAGAATCTCAGAATCTAAGAATCTCAGAATCTCAGAATCTCAGAATCTCAGGATCTCAGAATCTCAGAATCTCAGAATCGCAGAATCTCAGAATCTCAGAATCTCAGAATCTCAGAATCTCAGAATCTCAGAATCTAAGAATCTCAGAATCTCAGAATCTCAGAATCTCAGAATCTCAGAATCTCAGAATCTCAGAATCTCAGAATTTTAGAATCTCAGAATCTCAGAATCTCAGAATCTCAGAATCTCAGAATCTCAGGATCTCAGAATCTCAGAATCTCAGAATCTCAGAATCTCAGAGGCTCAGAATCTCAGGATCTCAGAATCTCAGGATCTCAGAATCTCAGAATAAAATTCAGAAATTCCAAATTTCAAAATCTTAGAACCTTCGAATCTCTGAATTTCAGAATTCTAAAATTTTCGAATTTTCGAAATTCTTAAAATTCTGAAATATTGAAATTTGAGAATTTGAGAAGCGGAAAGCGGAAAACCTATAAATTCAAAATCTCAGATTTTTTAAACATTTCATCAAATCGAATTTTCTGAATTTTCATGAAATCTGGATTTTAGAAAATCTGCGTTTCCTTGGGGAATTTTTTTCAATTTCAAACTTCACTTTTTTGAAAATCAAATCTTCTTGAATTTAACATTTTCGGAAGTTGCAGTGATTGAAAAATCAATGTTTTGAATTTCAACTCTCTTGTTTTTTGAATAACGCATTTAAATGGAAAATAGTATAAATTCTGAAACATTTATTTGAAAAAATCGGAAACTTCAAAAAGCTCAAGATTCCCAAAAATCCTGGGATTTCGAAAAAATCCTGAAATCATAGGGATTCCTGAACTTCAGAATCCTAGAATTCCAGAATTCCAGATTTTCTCCATTTCGGATTCTTTCAATCTTTGATTTTCGGAAACTCAGAATCTCAGAATTTTAAAATTGCAGACATTCAGAATTTCAGAATTTCGGTATATGAGAATCTCAGAATTTCAAATTTTCAAGGTTTCCGAATTTCAATTTGTCACAAATTTCGAAAAAATCTTCTCTCCTATTCTTCTCTACTTTCTTCTATTGTCCTCCAGTTTTTACTTTTTGAAATCTCCCGAAAAGCCCCAATAATCTCTTTTTCCAATGTTCATCTTTCCGGTAAACCTGTAATAAAAGAGCCTCCTAACTTAGAACTTTGAGTCAATTTATATCGGTTTCTGTCAAAGATATAAAATAGTTGTCAACTAATAAATTATTCATCAAAGTATCAACAACATTTTATCAGTAGATTACTTTCTGATATCTCTTATAGGAACCGAGATAATTGAGCTCAAACTTGACACTGTTAAGCCCCTTCTATTACAGGTGCTACGGTATTTTCCCGCTAAATAACATTCAAAAGATCCCCCCAAATCTTCTAGATTTCTATATGAATCGAGCCCGTAAAACGAGCAGTAGTTGTGGATGTTTTCGAAGTGCATTCTGTCCTTCTGAAGCCCTCAACGTCATCAGATGCATCTGGGGACAACGGTGATAGTGATAAGAAGCTGTTGGAAATTCAGATGAGCAATGAGAAGGAAGACGATGAAGAGCAACAGGTGAATTTTGGAATTTTTGGGTTACTGTAGTTTTTGAATTTCCAGTCAAATGGTCACATATCGCGTCCTATCAAAGTGCCACCACTGGATTTGAATGGTGTTCTGAAGAACGAGAATTTCAAAACGAGAGGAGTGAGACGCAGAACGTCAGAAGGAGCACATGGAGATAGGAGACATCTAGCTGAAGTTGTTTGTTAGTTTTTCATCATTTTTGAGGACTTTATCGGGGAAAACAAAGTTTCAGTCAGGCCACAGTCCGGGGTATGTGGCTTTAAAGTAAATAGTCCAAAAGTAGACAAAAAACTAGCGTTTCTAGCTCATCTTGGAGCTGAATTACAGCCATTTGAAGTGTTGAAAAGACGCAGACAGTTAGAGCGTCTCGGTGTCTGCGATCTCTCGCTTTCACAGTGACTCTAACCCATTAAACGTCGAGCCACAGTATCTCAGCTCTGGAACGAGCGAGGAAGTGGGGGGTTTTTTTTTTGCATAAAACACCAAAATTTCTAGATAAGCTTTTTTCCCCTGTCCTCCCTTAAGTCTGAAATGGCTCAGTTTAAGTTCTCGAAGCAAAAATTTAACAAACGATTTCAAAAATTGAAAAAAAACTAGACAAAACGCTGAAAAACCAAGTTTCTAGCTTACCGGAGTGACGAGTTAAAGCTATTCAAAGTTTTGAAGAGACGCAGACAGTTAGATAGTCTCGTTGTCTGCGCTCTCTCACTCTCTCTCTCTCTCGCCTTCAAACATCAAATGACTGCTAAGGCTTCCATTTCGGTCGGTCGAAAATCGCCGACCGCCGACCGACCACCGACCCAGCCGACCGACAGCCGACCGATTTCGTGCCTTTGCGCATAAAAACACGAATTTTTGCGTACGAATCACTTTATTTTACGACAAACGAGGCTTTTAGTGAGTAGTTTGTCGTAAAATACAATGCAGCGTATGCAAACACGTTGACGCGCAAATGCACGAAAACGGTCGGCGCGCCGACCGATCGGCCATTGGGTTTCCATGCGGATAGCGATATACCCGCCCGTACCCGCCCGTACCCGTACCCGCTTGCTACCCGGAACTTTTTGTGTTTGCAGACAATGCGCGCAACTTTACGACAATTCGCGCCCATTTTTCGGTTTCTTTCCGAAACAAATTCGTCCATTTTTACTGGCTGATGAATTTTCATACCTGAATTATTTTTTATTTTCACTTTAAAACTATTTTCTACACTAATAAGCGACAAAGATTGTCAAAAAATCATTGAAAAAAATGTTAAGAATTCCACCACA